CTATATTACATATTGTAATATTATATAATGTTGTGCGCTATCTGTCATGCCTACTGAAGGCTCGTCAGTAGATCACACGTGCGCTGAAGTGAACTAACCCTGGAACATAACCTGCTCCGAAGCAGGTTATCTTCAGAGAGCAAGTTACTATGGTTACTTACAGACCCTGAAAGTAACCTCCGATTTTGGAACCGAAAGCTGAGGTAATCCGCTCACTTATCCTCAAACATACCCGGGTATCTCATGTAGCGAATCAGCTCAAAGGGGAAATATGAATAATTAATCATAACATTTACATTTACATTTAGTCATTTTGCCGACGCTTTTATCCAAAGCGACTTCCAATTGGGGAATACATAAAGTGATTCTTCTTAAAGAGGCAAACAGACACAGGAAGTGCTTGAAATAAGTCAAGTAGCTTTTAAAGTGATGAGTTTTCAGCTGTCGCTTGAAAATTGTCAGGGATTCAGCATTCCGGATAGGGGTGGGAAGATCATTCCACCAGCCAGGAACGGTGAACGAGAATGTTCTGGAAAGTGATTTTGAGCCTCTCTGTGATGGTACCACGAGGCGTCAGTCACTAGCGGATCTCAGACTTCTGGAGGGGATGTAGATTCGTAGTAGTGAGTGGAAGTAGGCGGGTGCTGAGCCTGTAGCTGTTCTATATGTAAGCATCAATGTATTGAACTTGATGCGAGCCTCAACTGGCAGCCAGTGCAAGGAGATAAAGAGAGGTGTAACATGGGCTCTTTTGGGCTCATTGAAGACCAATCGTGCCGCTGCATTCTGAATCAATTGTAGAGGTTTGATTGTGCTTGATGGAAGTCCAGCCAGAAGAGCATTGCAGTAGTCCAGCCTAGAGATGACAAGGGCCTGGACAAGAAATTCTGCAGCATGCTCTGTTAGAAAGGGCCTGATCTTTCTGATATTGTGCAATGCAAACCTGCAACATCGGGCAGTCTTTGCAATGTGGTCTTTGAAGGTCAGCTGGTCAACGAAGATTACACCAAGATTTCTGACCGAAATCGATGGGGTAATTGTAGAAGAACCTAGCTGGATGGTGAAATTATGCTGTAGAGTTGGAGTGGCAGGGAAGACAAGAAGCTCAGTCTTTGCCAGGTTGAGCTGTAGCTGATGTTCTTTCATCCATGCCGAGATGTCCGCCAGGCAACCTGAGATCCGTGCAGCTACCGTTGGATCATCTGGTTGAAATGAGAGATAGAGCTGTGTGTCATCAGCATAGCAATGGTAGGAGAAGCCATGTGCCTGTATGATGGGACCCAGTGATGTAGTGTATATGGAGAAGAGGAGGGGTCCAAGAACTGATCCCTGAGGAACCCCAGTGATCAGTTGATGTGCTTTGTAGACAGTTCCTCCCCAGGCCAGCCTGAAAGACCTACCACTGAGATATGATTCAAACCAGCGAAGTGGAATCCCTGTGATGCCCAGTGATGAGAGGGCAGACAGGAGGATCTGATGATTGACACTGTCAAAAGCAGCAGATAGATCCAGCAGAATAAGAACTGATGATTTGGAATAAGCTTTTGCCATTCGCAAGGCTTCCGTAACTGACAGTAACGCAGTCTCAGTTGAATGGCCACTCCTGAAACCTGACTGGTTAGCATCCAGTTTGTTGTTCTGTGAAAGAAACAATGATACCTGGTTGAAAACAACTCATTCGAGAGTTTTTGCTATGAACGGAAGGAGAGAGACAGGTCTGTAGCTATCTGTAAGTGAAATGTTTAATGTAGGTTTTTTGAGCAATGGGGTTACCCGAGCCTGCTTGAATAAAGTGGGGAAAGTGTCTGTGAAGAGAGATGAGTTGATGATATGTGTGAGTGGTTGTAAAAGTGTAGGAGAGATTGCTTGGAGAAGGTGTGAGGGGATTGGGTCCAGAGGGCATGTTGTAGGATGGCTGGAGAGGAGAAGTTTTGATACTTCTACCTCAGTGAGGGGACAGAAGGAGAAGATGGGAGTTTTAGTAGTGGGTGTGGTTGGTTTGAAGTCCTGTGTGTGGGGGGGCTGAGAATTGACTACTGATTGTACTAGTTTTGTCTGTGAAAAACGTGGCAAAATCCTCAGCTGTTATAGAAGTGGTGGGAGGTGGTGGAGGGGGACAGAGGAGAGAATTGAAAGTTTTGAAGAGATTACGTGTGTCTGGAGCGTTGTTGATCTTGTTGTGGAACTATGAAGATTTGGCAGTATGGACTTCAGCAGAGAAAGATGAAAGCAAAGAAACTGATTCATACTCAGGTCTGATGGATCTTTAGATTTGTGCCATTTTCTCTCTGCTGCCCTGAGTTTGGTTCGATGCTCACGAAGAACATCGGATAACCAGGGGTTAGAAGGGGCAGCCCGTGCTGGCCTAGAGGAGAGAGGACAAATATCGTCAAGACAAGAGGTTAAAGTGGAGCATAAAGTGTCAGTTGCTGCATTCACATCCAGCGATGAGAAATGAGTAGGTGAGGGAAGAGAGGAGGATACTACAGAGGAAAGATGGGAGGGTGAAAGGGAGCACAGGTTTCGTCTAAAAGTAACCGGTATAGGGGTTGGTGGTGCACAGGTAACAAAATGTTGTTGAAATTAAATGAAAAAATGTGTGTTTGGGTTTTACAGAAATGTTGTCTGCAATACAATTGCGTGTGTAAATAAAGTCAAGTTGGTTGCCTGATTTGTGCGTGCTTGTGGTGATAAGTCGTTTGAGATCAAATGAAGCAAGGAGTGAATGGAAGTCTGTAGCATAAGGCTTGTCCAGATGAATGTTGAAGACGCCTAAGAATAAAAGTGGACTGCCATCCTCCGGGAATGAGGACAGCAGCCCATCCAGCTCCTCTAGGAAGGTGGCTAGAATTTGGCCAGGAGGGCGGTAGATTACCACAACCTGGAGTTTTATAGGAGCTGTTACAGTAATTGCATGATATTCAAAGGAGGTATAATTGCATAGGGGAGAGTGGGTTGAGTATTTCCAATTATTAGAAATGAGCAGACCAGTGCCCCCACCCCGGCCAACCTGATGGGGGGTGTGAGAAAAAGAGAAATTGTTAGTTAGAGCAGCTGGGGTTGCTGAATCTTCTGGACAAATCCAGGTCTCAGTCAAGCCCAAGATGCTGAGTGTGGATTGTAAAGAAAAAGCCGAAATGAAGTCATCCTGGCACCCAGTATGTTTATTGGGTGAGGGGTCTGTGACTACTTGTTAATCTAATGAATAACTGATTTGTTAAATCTAATGAAAAATGTTGAGTCTGATTGGTCCATACGCTACAGTCACATAACCTTGACATAAACCACATAAACTTGAACTCTGAGTTGATTTACCCTGAGATGGGAAACTCTGAGTTTTCGGTTTCAGAACAGTTGAATTGTGTTAGTTCAGTCAACTCTGAGTAGGTTGACTCTGAGTTTAGCACGTGCACCACGACTATGAGAAGTCATGATCAATGGCACTCCGAAATTATGATTCACCATGGCAACAGCACTGACTAAAAGACATCCGCATACTTTGAGTCAACGCATAAGTTTAATTCTTAATCACTGTTAAAATAACAGAAATTAAAACTGGCAGAACGGTAGCTTATTGAACTAATATTAATTTTCATGGTATACCATGGGCAAAAAAAAAAGAACGCAGCTAAAAATGAAGTATAAAAACAATTCAATCAATGTTCATGGGTGTAGGCTACATGACTTTACAAACATTTGATATATTAAATAAAATTTATTCAGTGTCTCTTTCAATGTGCAGCTGCTTTCTTCCCCCATGTACTCTAATCTTTTCACATAATTAACGATTATCTAATCCAACCTGTTACATTTCTTAATTAGAGTAATGAAATTAACATTTGACTTTTACTCAGTCAACAGCAAGAATGCTCACAAAATAATGAAGAACAGATGAAGAGGAAATGCCATAATACCAAGTATTGGAAGAATACTAAAATCCAACAGTAAAAAAAAGAATAACTCTGGCTTTTGTATTTGTAGGAAATAAAGATGACCAAATAAATTGTACATAATTTGTGTTTATGTAACAGTTGTGGTGGTGGTTACAGCATATATTTCGGACTACACTTCCATATGGCATCCTTAATTCCATTCCATAGGCCTATCGGTTTCATTTTCGGAAGGTGTGATGATGGGAAAATGCGTGTCATCAATGCATTCAACCACATTGGAAATTCTAAAGGAAATTCGAATTATTGGGTTACTTCCAGAGGTCACCGCAAGATGTTATGAAGTGAACGTCAGCAAGCACACCTTCATTACCATTCTGCATGCAGCGGCCTTACTAATGTGCTCTGCATCCCCGATATAGAAAACTACCAAATAAATATGCATGTTGATATGGCTCAAAAACTTTAAATCCCTACGAATTAATACAGCCTCCTTATCTACAGTATAAAAGGACATGCCATTTTTTTCACTTTGACGGTGTCTGGTGTGGTGTTTGATGGGGGAGGTAGGGGAAACAAAAAATAATCTTGTTTACGTTTGCATTAAGATGATTTTTTTCTTACCCCATGCTGGATAATTTTACTTGTTTTAAGTAAAATGCACTTAAATGCACTTGTTTCCACCCAAGAAACAAGAATAAACATCTTAGGTTATATCATTTTTCTTATATAGAAAATGCATCGTGATTTAAGAATTTTTAGATATTTGTACTTGAAATAAGACAGAAATAATTAGTAAGAAAAGCATTTTTGCAGTGTGAATGAATGAAATATTTAAACATCGCTTGCGCTTTAAAAAGGGGGAGGAGACTGTAAGAAAAGCTGGGTTTCCCGAAGAAAACCTGCTCCTGACCAGGTTAGGTTCATAGAGTAAGCTACCACAGTAACTGACCCTGAGTATAAGTTACCTCTCTTTCAGAAACGAGCTTGACTTACCCTGCTTTCTCGGGTTTGACAAACCTCCCATTCTGAAACGGAAAACCCAGAGTTTCCCTAATATCAGGGTTAACATACTCAGAGATTTCACTTAACATCCTTTCTGAAATGGGCCCCAGGCCTTGGATCTGAATCCACTGTTAGTTTGGCATTACACTTGCTTGCTTGATTTATTTAAAACAATTTATTATAAAGTTTATTACAGTTACATTTTCTGTTCTGTTTCCCCCCCCTTTTATTTTATCGCCAACTATTTTTTGTAATTACAGAGAGAAACTACAGCTGATTCATTGCTAATGCTTTTATTATGATTATTATTGATTACATTTATTCAAACAGGAGCGCAGTAGTAGTGGTGGTGCTGCTCTTGGTAACTATGAAGCCTACAAACCCTCCACTGGAGCCATGGGAGACCGTATGTCTGCCCTGAAGCAAGCATTTCAGGTAAAAAAAAAATCCACCTAATTTTGTCTTACCCACGTCTTTCACTGATGTTTCCTTTGCCTCCCTCTCTTAAGTTCTTCAGTAAAGATATATAGATGTATGTACCAATTTATGGATTTTGTTTAACATTGCTCTTGCTTTCCTTCAGTCTCAGTATAAAAACCACTTTGTGGCAGCATCTGGTGTTCCTCCCAAACTCACCACAAAGTCCAGCAGCTCCTCCGGGTGGACCAGTGCAGGAAGTCTTAAGTTATTTTCCTTCAGGAGCACCTGAGGAGTCTGACAGAACCCACCTGTCCTACTCGCCATCGTCCTCTTTCTCCTTTCCCTCCATGCTGCCGCCCCCTGCCCTCAGCTCAGGCACCAAAATGATTGGCTTCAGCAGTGCAGACTCCCTGAGCTCAGTTTCAGACTCCTACTCTAGCTCTTCTTCAAAAGAGGGGTCCCGTAGTGATAGGAATGCTGAAGACAGGGGTCGTCATCGAGATCGAGAGAGTCATTATCGTCATGGTGACAGGCATAGTGGGGGAGACCGTGATCGCTATGGGGAAAGGGACCGCCATAGTGACAGAGAACGTCATAGTGACAACCGAAACAGTGAAGGGAGCCATAGGGACAGAGAGGGACGGTCAGAAAGAGATGGGGGTGAGAGGTCAGGGACTCATAAAGACAGCTTTGCAGTTCCTGATCCCCCCAAACGCAAGAAAAGCAGATGGGACAATTAAAGTGTACATGATAGAAGCAGTCAACTGTTCTTAGATCAGAACACACAGCTGACCCAGAGTTCAGTGTCTACCTGTCTGCTTGTCTTTTTGTCTATATGTGAGATGAAGCTGTATTTAAAGGTGCCTATAGGAGACTCAGTTACCCCATCATCCTTGTCATTTACCGGAAATAAATGCATCCAATACAGACTGTTTCAGCCCTTTATAAATGTGAATTGGCAAGATGAGTAAAATGCACCTTGAGCCTTAAGGCCCTGTCCACACGAACAGGGTTATTTTTAAAGCCGCAGCTTTTTCTACTCGGTTAGGCTATTCATCCACATGCAAATGCAGCACCAGGTTTTTAAAAAAACCAAACATTTTTGAAAACGCCTGCCAGGGTGAAGATTTTCAAAAACTCCGGTTGCAGTATTATCGTGTAGACAGCGAAACCAGAGTTTTTGGCTTGTGACGTCAGAGCCTGCGCTGTTATCTCCGCCTACTGGAGACTTTTTCAGCCTTCTGATTGGCCAACATGGCTCTACGGTTGAGATTATATCGCTACATGTTGGTTTGGCATGCTCTTGACAGTGCTTCATAGCATGCGTTTGTGTTTTCGAACTGAGATTTTTTTTAAACGGAAGAAGGAAAAACTCTGTTTATAAAAATACTCATGTACGCGTGGACATGGCGTGTTGTGTTAAAGTACATGTGCCTGTTCAGTGGCACACAAGTTTTTTCTTTCGGAAGAAACTAATAGAATGAGAAATGTTGAATCTGGCTGTGTAACAGGAAAAATAATAACAAAAAAATATATATTTGAGAATCTCTTAGTTAATAGTTAAAACTATTTGTGAACTAAATATTTTCTTTAAGACTTTAAGATTTTCCAGTGATTTATTGTGTGCTGTCATGTTTCAAATATCATCAAGTTCTTAATGTCCATTAATGATGAACATTAAGAAATCCATCCTTTGCTCATACCTGTTAATATTTTGAATTGAAATGTTTTTTAGTCGTCTGTTCAGATTGTCTTTCTGTGCTGTCCAGCATATAGTATATTTGAAAGAATGAAGTCTACCATACATCCACACACACTGATCAACCTAGTCATAATAACACAATTGTAATGGGGAGAAAACCTATCAGTGAATCTACAATACAATCTATGTACTGTTATGATCTTGCATTTGCTCCATTCACGTCTCTTGTGAAGATTGATGTGCTGATGTGAGGCACATTGTGTAACAATCTAAACCTGACTGTAGAAATCTTTATTATTTTGGATACTGTAGTGTACAATTCTCTGTGTGGTCATGTTTATGCATTAATAAAAAGGCTTAGAGATTGTGTTTTAGAGAATTGGTGTCTTTTGGATATTTAAAATAAGCAATCATTTGGTCATTTGGCAATCAACATATCCTTATATGGGGTGTCATTTATTCAGAGTAATAAGCAATCAATGACTTTCACCTGTGACATATTGATTGAGTAAATAGGCAGGTCCAGATAAAAATAATGCTTGTCATAGCAGAGGTGGAGCCATGCTGATTTTCAGCTGTATAAATTTGGATGGTAGAGTAATAATGCATCATTAAAACACAAGCTTATCAGCAATGGGGTTCTGGCAAGTTAGCTTTGGAATGGTGATTTTTCTGGTACTGGGATTCTTTGAAGCATTTTGGAGAGCCAAAAGAAGTAGTAATTGGACCCCAAATAATTTTATGCCTAGGGTGCTGTCGCAAGTTCAGCAGACTGACTCCAGGATGCCTCCAATTCCACAGAAATATGACCCTAGTAACCTTGTATTTGCACCCCAAAGGTTTCCTGCTCAGTTTCCTGCCCAGACACCAGCCAGGAATGAATTTGGAAAGCCTTCTCAAGATCTTTTGGGTGTTCAATCAAAAGAGCTGCTGATGGGTGCAGTGCAAAAACTGATGTGGAGTTTTCCAAGCCTACCAGAACCACAGCAGCCAGATGTTCCTTTTGACTTGCGCTATCCTGTCCCTGCCAATAGTGTAGCGGCTCGGTGGGCTGAAAACTGTATGTGGAGGTGATGCAAGACTTCTTTGGGAATGGGAAGCCACTGAGGTCATCTGGTTTTACACTGGGAGGCTGTACTGCAGCTGGAGGAGACACTTCTGCTCAAGTGCTCATCTTTGAGTCAGAACTGCATGGATGTGGTAGTACACTAAAGGTGAGGATTCACCTTTTTCCATTTATGGTTCGAATGGATTCTGTAACCAACATGCTTCTACTCCCTTTAGGTGACTAAAGATGAGCTTTTCTATATGTTCAAACTTGTGTACACCCCACAAGAGGTTTCATATGGTGTTCCTATTGTTCGGCGCAGTAGTGCGGTGGTTGGTATAGTCACTATTCAAGGTGAGGGCAGAATTTAAGGTTACTGGATGTACTCAACTCCCATATAATGATTGTCTATCTAACGCCTCTGCAGAAAGCATAATGTGAGTAGCGATGCCTTACTGCCCACTTGGATCCCACATGCCAGTTCTGAAGTTGCAGAGGAGATCTTTGTTTTCTCCCTCAGGCTCATGACTGGTTGGTATAACATTGTTTCATAACACCAGTGTTTGTGAACTTGTGCTAAAACATCTTTGCAGATGACTGGCGATTCGAGAGACCTTCTAACCAGTACTTCCTGGGTGATATCATAAACGGAGGTGTCTGTGCAGTCATACAGCCATGTTCCCATCCGTGTATTTGTGGACCGCTGTATGGCTACAACAGTCCCTGATGTTGCGTCTGTCCCCAGATACTCCTTTGAGAAATGGGTAAGTGGTGCACCTCATGAATCCCACTCTCTGCAAGTACTGCAAGAGGTCTAACTGGGTTCCTTTCCCAGGTGCCTGGTTGATGCCAAGCTCCAGGTCTTGCTTTATGCCCCGAAGTCAAGGTGATAAGCTGCAGTTTCAGCTGGAGGCATTCAGGTTCCATCAAGCAGACAGTGGACTGGTGTGACAAGCTTTGCAACATTGTAAAATATGCTACCATGGTCTACAAACCACTCTTTTGCAGGTCAACGTCACATACATATTGAAAGTGGCTGCAGCAACTACTCCTACTCCAATAATTCCTGAACTGAAAGCTTGTTCGTTCACTGCTAATGGGTATGTTTCACCCCCTAAAGTGTACAGTTGACTTGGGGGGGATTGCCTTAACTTGAGGGTTTGTCTTGTCAGGTGGGTGGCTGCTGTGACACCACCTGTAGTACCAGGAGTGGAAGTGATCAGATTCTTAAAGGTCTGGATCTATTATTTTTAATTCTCTCCATGCACTGCTTTTCTCACTGCTTGTTTGTTTCTCAGATCTGCGGCGGGCTCGAGCATCAGTTGGACCCGTTAAGGAATATGGCCAAAAATAACTGGAAATGCCATGTGACTTCTGTACATGTAAATAAAAGCATTTAGTCTTAATAGGCTTTGCTCTTTGAGTCTTCTACTGTTTGTATCCCGTTCTGTGGCTTTGGTGCTTTCCAGTATGCACCACAAACTCCCTGTAACTTACCCACTATTCCTATAACCTGGCAATTTGGGGGGACAAATGTCTAACACTGACCTCGTACAGTGAGTAAATGGTGCTAGAAACCTTACTTCAGTGCAAATGCTGGGGTTGGACAGTTGACACCTTAAGCGTGTTTCAGTGGCAACCACATCCTTTGTTGCATACTGGCCAAGACCCCATCTGTAATGCAATGAAAATAAGTGAGCACTGCATCAGTGTATGGTGGCGACTGGTTTTCCATTTTTAATTCTTCACTGCTGCATAATGTAGCATCTAGAAATTGTAGCGACTCAGCTCATGGGGGAATAACTAATAACTAGTTAAATACTTAGATTCGCTGTAGATATTTACTTGACCTCTCAGGGTCAACTGTCTGTCAATTCTGAGAATGTTAATTTCCTGGTTAAGGGAAATTACTTTCTTACTGTACAATTCTACACAGAGCTTGTAGCATAAATCTGCATTAAGTGACTCCAGTTATGAGCAAACAATGTCGAGTGTGACAAGACTTTAACTACAAACACTTAAACTAGTCTCGCATACACACACACAGTTGGTATAGGAAAGGGTTAAAGCTTAACTCAGTAAAGAGCACATCTTTGTAAAAAGGTGCAAATGATACCTACTGTAAGACTAAGTTTGAATACTTGCACGTCTCGTCTGTCTGAAAGAAAGGCTTGATTCAGTCCAAAGGTTCAAGTTGATCTTTGCTGAAGTTGGTTGATGAAAAAGAACCAGTTTTGAGTCAGAGAATCTTGGTGAATGGAAAAGTCAAGGCCGAAGCCTGGCACAAGCTTAGGATGTCCTGGAGCGTTGTAGCTCACATTTTCATCTTCTCGGAATTCAACCAAACCATCGACTCCGGGCGGGTCACTGAATGTGAGGCCTTTAAAGTCTGCAAAGATTCATGCCTCTCAAGAGGGCTTGTCCAATGAGAAAGACGGCAATCCCAAGTGGGAGTTTGGAAATACTGGGGAGTTTTATGACTCTTTGTGTGGAAGCATGGTAATT